TGCAGGACTTCCTAGACAAATTAGCAAAAGAAAGTGGAAAGAAAGGACTAACCATCGACTGTACGAAGACAGAAAAGCCCAAGATATGAAGTGCGAATTGCAGATGCCAGAAATTGAAGTATCCGGGAAGTCTTTTAAAAGAGGATGCAAAATGCAGCACCGAAATCCGAACATAATTTCGAAATTCCAATCACTTGAAGAAGGCCGGAACGTACAACGGCTGAAACGTTGTGAATATGGCAATGAAGATGAGGATAACAGTCCAAATAATGTAAATAATGCAAGTAATCATAATACCTCATCTCAGAGATATAGAGGCCGAAACGTTGTGAATATGCCAATTAAGATGAGGCTGACAGTCCGAATAATGTAAATAATGCAAGTAATCATAATACCTCATCTCAGAGATATAGAGGTCGAAACGTTGTGAATAGGGCAATGAAGATGAGGATATCAGTCCGAATAATGTAAATAATGCAAGTAATCATAATACCTCATCTCGGAGATATATAGGCCGAAATGTTACTGAAGCCAAGCCGTCAGATCAGGACCAATAATATTGCTAATTCTTCTTTGGATCTTACCAAGTAGCTCAATGTTAATACCAGGGCACCCGATCATATATGGCAGCAATATTCTAAGCATAGACGAATGGTAGAAATATAGATATGTAAAATAGATTCTAGAGAGTAAAACTGTTTCGTCCGACACAGTGAACCAACTTTCTTAGCAGCTGACCTAGCAATGGATTCAATATTGTTTTTCTACTTCATGCCAGCTGAGAATGTTAGTCAGTGAAGGTGCAATGAGTCATTTTTCTGGGGGATAGCATCAGCCATGCTGATGGAAGGCAGCAAAGGGGGGGGCTCTCAGATGATTAAGGGAGAGAAGTATCGTTTTAGAGGCGTTAAAATTGACAAACCATTTTTTACCCCAGTAAACAACGGTTTTGAGATCATTTGTACATCAATTGTACATCAGGTGCCATTTTGATCTTGCCGGATTGATCAACGACAGTCTCCAGACGACTTCAGAATCTCCTACAACACTTCCGGACGGTCTCCTCGTTTGGTGTTACAAGGAGTTTTTGTTGGTCTCTTGTTCAACTACGTCCCACATATAATAATCAGGGGGGTTGCACTTTGGAGAGTTAAACGGCCAGATGTAAGGTGTGGTGTGGTCGTAGAAATTGTCTGACAGCTATGATTGGGTTCTCATGCTGAGTCCTGTTGCCAGACATAGAATCTTTCAGTATCCACCATCTTGATCCAGGGTAGAACCACCTCCTCAAGGCACTTGTTGTAGGCTTCCGTTTTGAATCTGAGGCCATCACCATCAAATTAGGGAGTTCTTTTCTTATCAAAATGATGAGAGTGAGTTTTCTGAGTTGCCTTACTTTCGTTATGACCATTAGACTCATTCAACTCTTTCCAAATCCTCTGCACTGTCCTCAAGTTGACAACTAAACACTCTGAAATGTTCGTATTGGAGCTTCTGGTGCGAATGCCAAGCAGTACAGCATGCCTTTTCTACATTTCTGTCGGTGTGAATTGCGTCATGGTGCTCTTTTTCTCACAGACGGTGCCCAACTGACCCTAATATACTCTGCAGCCGACAAAAACAAACAAACAAACAAACAAACAAACAAAAAAACAAAAAACAACGCGCATGCGTGAAATTAAAATATAAAATGACGACAATTTACCCATCGCACCCTGTATATGAGTCCATCAGAAAAAAACATTATTTAATCTGAAGAAGTCCTTTCGAAGAACGAAACACAAAACGGGAGCATTTTTTTTTCCATTTCATCATTCAGTTATCCACCATCAATCTGTTATATAATGTTTATATACATCTCCCACAACTCTCTCTCTCTTTTTCTCTCTCTCTCTCTCTTACTTGCCGTTAATATTTATATCAGTTTGTTTGTAACTCTCTGTCTTTGTTCATATCTACGTAAATATATTCATAGCTATGTCAGTCAGTAATTCCCATAACTGTTTGTATCGATGTTAATCTGTTCATCTCTTTCCCCCCACTACTTGTTTTTCATGTATCTCTCTGAATGATGCATACAACTCTTCTTTTCCGACATCCAGCCAGCCTATAGTTTTAACCTTTTTCTTTTTTCTTTGCTTCATTCCATTTAACCGAATCAAATCTTTGCATCGGAGCATAAATTGGATAAAATAAAATAAAGCATTCGGCTCTGAATTTTCTTTTGCTTTGGGCATATTTCATCGAAAGTATAACATGGTTTCAAATTGTTTTTTCTGACCCAATCGCTGTTATTTCATTGGTTAATATTTTTACAGATTTAACTTAAACATATTTGCCATCGCTAATGACTTGAAATAAAATCCGACATAAATTCAACTGTTTGGATCAACTCGACGTTCATGATTGATTGAAAATTTTCACTTTTTTTTTGTCAATACACATGGCTCGATTAAATCATTTATCGCCCGCAAGCAAATATCGATTTTTATCAATCAAA